CAGAGTCCGAAGTAGTACGCCGAACAAGAGCCAGCGGTGGTGCTGGTACTACACCTGCTCCTATTGCGAAACAGAAGTCCTCAGCTACCGTCGCTCGACAAGGCTTCGCTGCCTCTAGTACCGCAACGGGAGCACAGCACGACGACACCAACAGCCGAGACGACGACACTGTGAGCCTTTCCTCGAGCGTGTTCCGCCGGGACGGCTTCGTTGAAAGCCACCGCTACAAGGGAAATGGCTGCACAAGTGACCCAAAGTCAGCCGCGATGTTGTTGTCGCAGGAAGCGTTACGCCGCGACGCCTGCCTTGACGCACAATACCGTCTGCGTTTGATGCCCGCCGCCCTGTGGGAAAGCCGGGCGAGACACGTCGACGACGGCTGCAGTGGAGGCGAGGATGGCCTGGACACGACAGGCATAGTGGAGAAGCAGCGGACACGACAGACATTTTTGACGGATGGATTTGACGAAGCTTTGGGGGCGGTAGCAGTGGAATCAGCTACATCAACGATGAATGCGAAACACGATAGGCATCAAGCGAAGCGAGATGGGTCTTGCCCGTCAAAACAAAAAATAGGAGGTGCGACTGCGGTTGTGGTGCAACCTCCTGTTGGTGACTTTGACGATGGTGGTGGCGATGGGATCGTGTTCCAAGGCACGGCGAAGGTGTCCCAGGCGGCGTCGCTGAAGAGACCCGCCGTTACCGCGAACGTGCCGCTGCGGTGGCAATCCAGGGTGGTCGCACTGTCGAGCCTTAGGGATAGCTTAAACGGCGGTGCGACTCGAGGCTCGCCATCAATGGGCCAGAGGATGGCGAAGTCGAAGTGTCGGGCCCGCCAACGCAGCAAGGGAAACAGGTGTGCGTGAGTTTGGCCGACGTTTAAGGTACTTTCCGCAACAGTTCGCAGAATCTTACATACATCGCGCAGGGTGTGAACAGGGTCCCCTTGTTCAAGGTCCATCGACCCATCATTGCCGTGGATGGTTGTAATAGTTATTGCAGCTCGACAATGACATGCTACCTCTACCTAGATTCGATTTCTAGACGGAAGGGAAGGCCCATTGTTTTGGCGTGCACAATGACCCTCACATGTAGTCCCTTCGTTTCCTTCGTCTCCTAGGCAACACGAAGTCACCTCTACCGCTACTTGCAAGGATACGAACAAAGGCAACAACAACAACGAGACCCAAGAATCGAAAGAAGTCACGTCCTCCGACTCCGCCAGTCCCGACCAACGCTGCCGCCCTTCCACCACCGGCGATACACGGATGACCCTTGCGGAATGGGCATCGAGAGAAGACGTCCGTGTACCGGGAGGAGAGAAAAGCGCCGACGACAGTGGCGGGTGTGGTAGAGGCGCTCAAGGCATTATTTCCTTTGCGGAAGGTGGAAGACCCTCAAGTGCGCCGATGCACTCGGATGGGAAGGTGGGTAAAAGGACGTGAATCTGTTGGCAGGGGGTTGGAAGTAGGTGCGGTGCTCTCTGGTGTCCCTGTTTGCTCGCGCCTCTTTATAACTTTGTGTTTCAGACTTTGAGGGCACGGCATATGCATGCGAGAACACCGTATCCTATTCTGTCTTTGCGAAATGGATACGAAACCTGACAGGCACACCATCATCATGCCTGCATACGCCATAGGTGATCATGAGGCCGCTCGGGCTCGGACAAGGCGACAATGGCGTACCTGGCGGGAGTTTGGAACCTCCGTCGGTGGTGTTCGAACCAGGTTCCTCACGGCTACGGACCCGCAGGATTATTCTTGATAGGTGAGTGAGGACGTAGCTTTCTTTGAATTTGATGGTTTGTGTCTCATCGCGTCAAGCAGACCTCGAATCACAGCATTAATCATTCAAGGGTGGGCTTCCACACCACTCGACGTGGTGACTGTTTTCAGGAATGCCCTGCTCGTTCGAGAAGTCGATCGTGGCTGAACAGTTCCGTTTGGTGCGTATTCAACATTTGGTATAAGTTGATAGACGGCTCGCCTTCGACGGACATGTTTTTTCTGCTGTTCAAAGCGACTCGACAACCTTCGAACGAACGAAGGTATCACTTGCAGTCACCCAACCTTGTTTCACTGTCTCCATCAAGGCATGCATGCCACGCACGAGACTCCCAAACCCCTCTCTTCTGAGGTGTAACTAATCGAAACTGTTGAAACGCCAAACAAACCAGAGTGTACCGCTTCACGCGGCATCAAGAACGAAGCACCATCATGGGCGCACCAACCGGATCGACCAACATCAACCGTGGCACGACACAGTTCAACAAGGGGTCAGCATCAGATCCAGCGCCACAAGCGGGTCTAACGTCCTCTGGGTCACCCGAGCTCAGAGCACCCGCGGCCGGGAACGACACAGGCAACACACTGGTGCTGCGAGGGGTCACCGATTGTGGTGGCTCGGACGGGCTAAGGTCGAGAAGGTCGTACCCGAATGACTTGCAGCCTTGGAGACCGCCGATGCTGTTCCAGTATAGCAAGGTCTGGGCTGCTTACATTTCAACATTGGTATTAGGGGGTTGAAAGGGTTGAAGCCTGTTTCGAGTTTTGAGCTTTGATGCGGGTGGCAATATCTTCTAGACTGGCACAAACATCAAATGAAGTACTCCTTAAGGTTGATACTGAAACTGTTACACAGTCACGGTTGTGTCACGTTAAGACAGCTCGCAGCGATTGGGCATCTTCTTTCTTTCAGATACCATCGCTGCAGGTTAAGAAAGTCACGTCCAAGTATCGCAAACAGCCCGCCAACCAACCGAGATAAGCTGTCACCAACTGCTGGATCAACATCCAAAAGAGAACCAATCAAACCAACCGACACCACACCATACAAAATGGCATCGTTCTGCTGGTGACCAGCAAGTCTGACGCAAACAACGAAATCGGTCAATGTGTACAACCCATCAGGACCCGGGAAAAGCTGGCGGACACTTCTCCAAGGAGACTATCATCCTCGAGCCGACGTGCCCAACCACACACTTCGCCTTCAAACCACCTCCCCGAACCTGCGTCGACAGCGAGGGGAGAGTGGTTTTGGAGGCCTCGTCGGAAAGGGTTCGGAAAAAGGACGACGACAGAATACGACTGGACCGCTTTCAACACGTCCCCGGGTGTATGGTGTGCCGTGGGAACCTCGGCCACGTGAAGGTACCATGCACTAATGGAAACCCCCAGGGAGGCCTGTATATCATACTCCTCTCCAATGCCTGAGATATCCTCGAAAATCGTCAGTACATCATGGGTGTCAAGACCGACGCTTGAACAATGCACGGCAACATTGTGACCGCAACCGTGTGACGCCGGCCGAATATCGATCCGTCCCCTGGCCATGGGTGGCTCTCGAAAGTTCGCCAAGATCGAACGATAACCCCATCTTCCAAACTCTGCAGGGAATGGACGGGCGTTACTACCATCACTACGCCAGCTCCGACCGCATGTGGTACATGCCTGAACACCCAGGCCCGTACCCAACCCCGGCGGAGCCCCCTTCATTGGAAAAGCTAGGAATACTACCCCCAGAACCGGAGCCTCCGCTTTCGCCAGTTTCTGGAGAGGTTAGTCAGATGAGCAGGGTTGTAGCCGTACCTCGCTTTTGTAAGGGAAGTGGGTGGGGAGGAGAGAGTTGGCACGGTGTGGCACGAAACATATTTTTTGTTTTCCCGAAAAAATGTCAAAATATGGAGGGAAGTGATGGTCCCGAAAGCCTCATTCGCCTTAGCCTTCGCTCTATCGGGTGTTCGCTAGACGGGCCCAAGTGGGAAGTACAATCGTGTTGCCGCCCCTCCCCCCAGACTTGTTATTTCAGTAAAGAACGTGCAACCGTGACTTCATCAGGAGCAAGGGTGGCGGTCACCTCATTCTGACTGATATAGGCGGTTAGTTGCCGCCAAAATCGAGGTAATAATGGCCACACAACGAGCACTCCGTCTACTCTTGTGCTTGAAACAATCCTTGTCAGGTGGTCCTTCCATCCCCTGAAGACCTCCCAGGGACAGAACCTCCGAACGCACCACCCCTTCCCCGCCACTACATGAAAGTGTCGAGAGAGGCATGCTCACGGTGTCAACAGGGCGGCAAGTGCCCCGGCCAGGGACTTTGTCCGGTGATGGGAGTGGTGCCCGTGGAATCGGTGATCCTCTTGGTCGAAGAGCCTAGGTTAAGGGTGAGTGAACAAGACGCGGCCGTGGCTGCCCGTGCTGCTGCTCAAGAGAACGTGCTAGCATCTAGGGTAGCGTGAAGTCACTCCTGAAACATGAAGTTGGGCATGAGAACTGAGGTTAGTCGTTTTCCAACATACGGGATCCCGAGTCATTACTTGTTGTGTGGGTTGGAGATGGTGGTCAACATTGGCGATCGAGCCCTGATGAAGCGGACAAGACTGCCGCTGCCCTGTATCTGCGGGGTACAATCGATTCAAACGGTGTCAAAGCTAGACGCGCCGTTTCCTACACCGTCTTGCGCTTGGTTCAAGTGGGCGGACACACAAGCATATAAGTTCGGGCTGGTGGAGGTGATGAGCACAACGAAAGTATGATCAAGTAAACCCTAGAGCCATGCAACCGTGCAGAACCGGCCGGTTCATTAGATTTTCCATGACCTCAAGATCGAGGTACAAACGTTGAGCGAAGGCCACGATGCGGAATATTTTTGGTGGCACGCCACGCCTGACCTGTGGTTGGAAAAGCGCTGTAGCTCACTGGTAACGTGTCCATGGATGTCATTAACCTCCGGAGTTACTACAGTGCGTGATCGGCAGACTCTCTTCCACGATATGAGCGAAATAGTGTAACGCAGAGAAAACTAAAGATCTTCTTCGCGTGCTAGTAGACGAAGCATTGGATATGCGAATTGGAAATCAACCCCGAAATCAACCCCGAGAATAAACGTTTCCGTACAAAACCAATCGTCTATTCCGCCACCGCCGGTGTTGCTTCTGCAACTCTTAACGAAGGATGACTTCGACGATCTTGGCGAGGCGATTGTCGCTGAAGACGGCAGGGCTTGGTCGGTGGAAAGGAGCTCCGTCTTCTCTCAGAGGAAACGTCAGTGCGAGAGCCGGGCAATGCTCAATACCGACAAGGTACAACAACGGACGCATCCTTTCTATTACATACTCCACGAAGCCCTCATCACAGCTCGCGCGGTGGGCCGCGTCACTGGATGAAATAGATTAAATGGTACCTTTTTAACGCTCCCGGCGACACGTCATCGCATTAACCACATACATCATTCAGGCGCAATTGTTGTTCTCCGCGTGTGCGACTACTCAGGCGCAATTGTTGTTCTCCGCGTGTGCGACTACTGCTGTGACCCACCTGGTACTGCTTTAGGTAAAGCGATCCCGTTTCGAGATGTCATTCTGGCGAGCTTCGAAGATGCAGAGGTTCCTCCGCTTCGTGGCTGAGGGAAACCGCGACATCATCATCAAGAAGACGAGCGTCAAGCAGGAGATCGCCGTCATCAGAGAGACGCTGTGGGCCCACTACAACACGCTCCTCAGCTCCTTCAGCTACTACGTCTCCCTCGACGGGGTGTTTGGGGAGCCCGACAGCGCGGCTTTCCAGCTTGGGAGGTGATCCTGCTAATATCGAGGCAGTCCGCTTTCGAGGGCGGGAAGCGCTCGGAGGGAAACGTCTCGAAAAGGGTTTTCAAGGAAGGGTGCCCCCATTCCATTCGCCCTCTTCGAATGCGTTCACTCAGTGGCGCATTCGCGGGTCGTTCTGTGTGGAAGATGATATAGCGGAGGGAGGTCTGGTCGGCTGCCGTAGAACCTCGAAGATCGATTTCTTGACGTATTCAAATGCTCCCCATTCTGGAGAGAGACGCTGTCATACATAACCACAAAATGTGACCGTGCTTGAGTAAACCCAGACTATAGCAACTACCATACCACCAACAGTTTCTTCTTCGTTGGTCACCCTGTGCAGGGACCAGTATTTGGCGTTTCTATCCGACATTCTGCACACTCGGGAGAAGGAAAACAAGGTGGTTCACGACGAGCTCAACCGAACCTTCGCGAAAGTCAACGCCGAGGAGGACTCTTGCACGACATCGGGGCTGGCGAATCTCGACCGGCGGTTGTGCGAGCAGGTCTGCATTGTTCTGTGATTATTTCGTTGATTTTCCGGATTTTTTTGTGTGTCTAGCGTGTGTTTGCTCTCGGATTGGCCTTACGTATTAGCTGTGGGTGCCTTGGGGGGTTGATGGTGATGGTCGATGTACCAGTCTCCATTCCAAGTCACGCAAAACCGCTACCGGGAAAAGAACGACGTGGTACGCTGCCATTAGCTTCTCGTTCAAAACGGAGCACGCTAATAACATAAAGTCTCCTCGGTGCTCACCGCTCTTGTATTCAATCAGGGGCGTGATGGCGACCGTCGATAAGCCAGTCTCCGCCATCGACGGTCACGCAAAGTGCTGTCGGGAAAAGAGCGACGTGGTACGCTGTCAACAATTTCTCGTTCAAAACGGTGCACGCTAATAACACCATCAAATCTCCTCGTGCTCACCGCCCTTGATTCTCGTGGGCACGATACTACACGCCGGGTGCAACCAGGAATGGATGGAGTGCATGGTTCGAATTGGGGCGATCCTGTACAGGAAGGAGACCAACAACGGATCTGTGGCCAGAGCATTGAGTCGCTTCATGGCCGAGGTGGGTGAATAAACCCCGTCTTCCTTGCTTTGTGGTATGTTCCTGGATGGTAAATACACCGAACTACCATGGCACCCAAGACGATTCGACATGATATATGATTGAATAATCGAAACTACCCTTTTCTTGATCGCAGTTGGTCCATCGTCTTCCAAAGGCGGCTCTCCTCGATCCGGACGCCTATCGAAGGGAATGTTTGTACAAGGAAGGGCTGGAGAAGGCCCTGACCAAAAGGATCGAGGGGTTCCGCGCGCTGTTTCAGGTGCTTTTCTGTAAGGAGCTACCAATGATGTGTGTTTTAGGTTGGCTTCGTTCAAAACGTTTTCATCTCTGAGAAGTCCCTCGATATCCAACCTTAATCTTTGTCTGCATCAACGCTTGGCACATTCCGAGTAGCTTCCTTGAAGAAACGGGGTCTGGCTAGTCGAATCCGGACGTCCGCAGGCTTCTTCGGGTGAATTTGGGGATCTAAATTAGGCCTCTTGGAATCATCATAAGTTTCGAGTTGTCGAAGAGTTTGGTAGTACTCTCTAAGGCTTGCCCACTCCCAAGGGTTTTCCGGTCAACCATTGTGACCATGACGTTGTTCCTTGCGCCCTCCTCGCCCCCATGCCACCAATTTACTCCCTAGACATACCCCAAGAACAATCTGGCAGTCAAAGCAGCCCGGCGCCGGATACAGGTGCCGAAAGAGGTAATCCGATCGCACGTTCTCTAGGATTTCGTAGGTCATGAGAAGCTTCGTTGAACTACGGTTCACCATAGATGGGTTTGGACACTCTTCAGGTGCAAGACTGGAACAGACTTGGGGTAGAATTGCTGCTCAATACCGAACCAATTTCAAATACGTTGTCGAGCACTGTGTGGAACCAAGGCGCGCCAAAGGCATGCTCTGTACTTTCCACGGCCAACATTCCGAAAATAGATGAACGATGTGACTCCCGTATCTTGTTCTTGTTGTCGTGACAACGAGTTCAGGAGCTGCTGCGGTTCTCCCTCACAGACTGGGAGATGCTCGTGGACGACGCGGGCATTTTTCGAATGCTTCAAAGAGACAAGGTCAAGAGGGTATTTATCCAGGTGCGTTGCTACGTCTGCTAACACTGTCGTCGTCCTCTTCTTGTTGGTGTTCAATGTTGTTGCGGTTGCCGTTGCTGGTATGTTACATAGATGTGTACAGAATAACCTTGTTGGTGGCCTCCTTGTACGATCAAGCAGAAGATTTCCGTAAACCAGGTCCTGACAAACAACTCTTGGAGTAGTGCTTCCCTAGGAAGAATGACCACGAACCCCAAGAACCATGTATTATGGAGGGGGAATTGGTCACACCGCAGGACCTTACTGTGCCCAAGACAACTTTCAAAAGCATAACCGGCAGGATAACCTACCCACAGGACGGTGTGTGACAATTGCTTGCCGCAAGCTAGCCTCCAACGAACGCAAACGCAGTCCTCAAAATCGCTCATTTACGAGCCTCCCGACAAATGTTGGTATCGTTGAGCACGTGGTCTATGACGAGCCGGTGGTCACCGAGCGCAAGATCATGCTACCAACACAGTGGCTCGAGCCATGGAACACAAGAGCAACTGTCTCCCGTCCATAACCAGCAACAACAAAGTTGGCTCTTGGTCCCCGCAATCCATCAAGTAGGTCGAAAGAACTGCTTCCTTGCAACCGTATGTCGGAATGAACCAACCATACCCCTCACCTGACCGAATAACCAAACAAGGTTTTTGCATGTTAACAATAACAGAATTGGTCCTGCCCCCGACCCTCCCCCCCATCGGGGTTGGGTTTTCGTCGCTTGGCAACGACGTTGTATAACGAGCCAATTCACTTCGTGAACTCGGCAACCAGGTTACCGTTTGGTTTTTTTACGTCTGTTTTTTTTTTTTGAGGTAACCATGATGGTGGTCGAGTAGGTCATATTGTGCGGGGTGGAGAAGCCTCACTCCGCGCAAGGGGGGTGATCGCAACACGTTGTGTCAAAATGGTCACGCACCCTCGGGGCAGTTACACAGTGTTTACAACTGTCTCTGGAAGTGAAGCACCAGAAAATAAATTAAGTCATACGCAGCTGTCATCCGTACGCAAGGAAGTAAGCACAAGATGCCGAACACCCTTAGCAGGATGCAGCGCACCCTTCATGCGACTCGCTGAATACCTCACGGCGCTTCGCGCTTGGCGATGTGAGAGCCTGGTACGGGAAGAACCCGGCGTGATCTGTCCCGGCTTCGTAGGGATGCGAGGTCAGTGGTCTAACCACTACGGCATGCACGACTATGAGTACACCCCCCGACGTCTCCTCTGCGCATTAATATCCCTACAACTACAAGTCGAAGATGCTTGTAACAGATGAGCTTGTGGATCGCACCAAGAATTGCTGCTTGACGCCCGTGGACTTTTTGGAGGCCATGGTACGGCTGGCTGATGCCCTCCCCCGCCAAGGGGACCTCTGGCCTACGACAGAGGAGTCGTTCGAGGTAACAAGCACCTCTGACCGACGTTTCAATCAACTGTTGTTAATGACTGTCACCAACCCACACCCTGCGCTATCCTGGGAAGCGCAGTCCAAGCGTCAGCTCTTAATAATGCTGGGCGCGATCAAACTGCAGCATGTGAGCGTTGAAGACACACACGCGCTGCATCCTTGTTGCCTGGTTGTCGTGGTGAGTTTCAATGGCTGTTTTTTTATACCAGAAACGTTCACGTTTTTTTATTCTTGATCTCGTCCCTTTTTCTTCTGCCGTTGGCGTGGTGGACACTGCCCATGTGCATACGCTCTAGGAATTTTGCTCTATACTCTTCAGTGGTCTGGAGACGCGCTGGGCCGGTCGTCTACGGGTGAGTTAGTTTCTAACTTTCCCACGGACATTTTCCACATTATGTTGGTCGTCGTCACTTGCGAGCTCGTTTACCGGTGGGTTTTGGAAATGTAGGTAGGGGTTGAATACTTACGGCGGATTCCGATTGTTGCGCTACTCAGCTTGGTAGCACTGTTGTTATCGGCAGGGCAGGGATGGACCGATGACGCGGAAACAGGAAGAGATGGTTTGTTTGCAAACAGAGCTTCACCTGAGAAATAGAATGCGTGTGTGGGCATCAAGTGCAACACGTGCTACCTCCTCTGCGTCAGTAGTTTGGTGAGGCACACGCATATACATTCGCATGCGTCCCGTGGCAGGTGCACATGGCGGGCAGCGACGACAATGGTCGAACAGTCCTGCACTTTCGGAATTTCATGAAGAACACGGGCATCGAAATGCGCGAAGCCACAGAAGACTTCTCGGCGTCGTGCGCGATTGAAGACGATAGAAAGAGTGTGCAAAGCAATGGGGCCGATATGGAAGAGGACGCCATTGCCGAGCAACGAAGTGCAAGGTAGTTTATGTCCGCGTTTTGTAAGACGAACCTGAATATCCCCTTTGAACCGAACGGCGTTTCACACACCTGCGTTATTGGAACACTTGAGAAAGCATGACCGCCCGAATATTGAGAGAAGACCGGCCAGAGCAGAACAATCCAGGGCTACAACAGGACTCCAGGTTTTGTGCTCACAACGGTGAAAAACCACTTCATATGGACACTATGCCCTTGACAAGTGACGACAGCGTAGCGCCACCGTGGACATACGTTAATTCGTTCAAGGGCATTCTGTATCGCCACCATCGGCTTTACTGCTGTACACTTTCACGTCGGGAATTACGAATGTTTTCGTACGTTGGGTTCGCGACAATCTCGCCTGACGCCATCGGCGTCCAAGGCCGTTCTGCAATCGGGGTATCATTCTCCATCCGGCACCATCATTCGGCGGCCAACCGTGTACGACGAAAAATACGTTTGATGATGTCCCGGCGGCTTGGGCGCGCCAATCGCAGTAATAAGATGTAGACGTTTCAAATCAGATCCCGTGGGGGAGATGATGCGTGAGGCATCAAGTGAAAACAGCAATGGCGGTAGGGCAGCCTTAGCCTTTGCGGCACGTGAAACAAAGAGGCCGGAAAAGAGTCTCCGCCAACTGTGCGCGACAACATACCTCAGTTGCAAAGGAACGACATGCAGTCTGAGAGCAAAATATCATCGAGGACCTCAACAGTCCGCACGAGAGACCATTCGATAGTCAGTGATAGCGTTCAATTGTCAAACACCTCCATGAAAGAAGGCAGATTTTCTTCCCCTAGCCATGTCCTTCACAAACGATGTACATATATTTGTCCGGCTGCCGTTTCTATAGCTCTACCACCCCCTTTCCCCCGAATGAGTTAAGACTGATTGCTAGCAACCAACGCAGCCCCCCCCCCCCTATCCGCCGTCCGAAAGCTGGGCGAAGTAGCGGCCGAGAGCCGGTAGCGGCATTCAAAAGCCAATGGTTGAAACTCTATATTAATCTGCCCACCACGCCCTCGGCGAACCCATCCATGCCCAGGTTTAGAGGAGAGACGGACTCCTTTACTCCCTGGTGTGTTGGTACCCTCGACGCACCCGAATTTTCTATTAACTCCCTACAGAGTTGCTGCGTGACGCGCGTGAACGCCGGCCGTCACGACCTTTGGTGTATTATCTATAAGAGTGTCGTTGACGGGAAAGGATCGGTTCACGTGCTCCAGGCGCTGACGCTCCCACCACCGCTACGTAAGTCTGTCGCGACGAAACCTTGATCAAGGATTGACATCGGTGCACACGTCCGTAGGACCCGACCAAGCACTTGGGCTGGTGACCTCCCAATGTAGAGGTGGAACCCACCGCGAGGCAAAGGAAAGCTCCCGTCACGTCGCGACGTTGACTAGGCTGCTGCCGTTTATGCAGACTGTTTCCAGTTCTCCATTCCGGAGATGACCTTCGCCGACTTGATTATGTCCCCCTCTTTCACGTCCGCCAAGAGCTCCTGGTTGTCCACGGTGTAGCCAAACTCCGTGTATCGCCCGTCTAGAAGGTTCTTGCCTGCAAACAAAGCAAAAGGACGAAACACCGGCAAAGACGATAGGAGAAGGCAAACAAGTTTGACACCTGCGAAGCATCGAGATGACAAGAAACGTTCGCAGCAGGCTTACAGTGTGCTCTACTCGATCCTACATCAGCCCAACCCCATAGCCCGTCGGGGTTTCCAAATGAAAGAGGATTCATTCGACGCGCGGCGGCGTGAAGAAAGGCTTAGCCCGACAATTTAAAGCACAGTAGCTGTATGACTCTCTCCCAAACTGCCGCAGTAGCAAGGACAAGCAGGGTTGGAAAAAGCCGCACGTCGTGTGGTACAACCCGGGCTTCAGCAGAACCAGGGTACGCCAGCACGGATCCTGTCACACGCCTAGATTATGGCCAACGGATAGCAGGTAGATTTCTTCACATGGCAAAATTACACAAACAACAACGACGACGACGACGACAACAACAAACCTGCTGGTGTAAGGTCGGAGTCGAAGAGCAGCCAGAAGAACTGGCAAGAGGCCGAGTCCGCCTCGAATTCAGAGCGTGCCATGCCCAACGCTCCATACGCCTGGCGACAAACGAGCGGTAGTGGAGCGAGTAAAGAAATATCAGAAAAAAAACACAAACAAGTAAACATTGGCCACTGGAGCAACCACAAGTGGGGGAGAATTGTTGACGCCGTGAGAAACAAACGACACACACAAAGACGGGGAAACGGCAAAAGCAACAACGACGTCGTTTCTAGGGCAGGAACGCAGGCGCTGCGGCGGCAATTGGTGCTTTCAAGGTCGGCGAGTCACGCGGAACTAGGCTCCGATAGAGTTCTCCCCGCCGTCCCCCTGAACAGCGGCAGCAGAAGCTCCCCCGGCGCAAGCGATCAATCTACGACGATCTAGCAGTTACAAACGTGACGAAACATCGAGGAGGAACAGTATTCAGCTAAATATTGACCCTTTCTTGTCAACAAAGAACTCTCCCGGTCAAACAAGTGATCCCCCCCCTTCCCCTCCCGAGAACGCCATTTCGGCACCTGGAACGGTAGCTTGGTTGCGGCGTAACCCCTGCCATCGTCCTCCGTGGTGACAGAGTACATGGGGAGTTTGTCTTCAGAAACCGCGATCTCCAGAGGGATTTTTCGGGCCTTAACGGTGAAAGAAAAAAAGGGCGGCGGAAAGTAACGGTGTGTTGTGCGTGTGAGCAGAGGAGACGACGATATATAGGTCCAATGTTACCGTAGCCTACCTGTGCTCGAAACGAAACAAGGAAATGATGACCAAGGGTAAATGCCACCAAACGAATCGTCTCTTCAAGCAACAAGAAACCACCGCCATAAGCAGCTGCATCCGCAACAACAACAACAACAACAACAACAACAATTCCCCTTTCTCCTCACCTTGTCCGATCCCGGGGGGAAGAAGTCGTGCACGTTGCCCTCTGGATCCGGGTCACCCGTCTGCACCACGAAGCCATCGCTCCGTGTGATGGGCATGTTCTTGTAGTATCCTGCCAGTCCCACCCAACGAGATCACCAGCAGAAAAAAGAGCAAGGACAGCGAGGCATGCGCGCATCAGACAAAGACACCCAGGTTCTCATGCACCCGTCTCCCTCCCTGTCTCTCGCTCTCGCACACAACCCCCTGAACCTCCTCCGCCAAAAGCCACACGAATGGTTGTTACAGTTTGCCTCATAACGTTCCTCAGAAGCCGGAACACTCCTCAGAAGCCAACAGTTTCGCTCCCGGCCTCCGAGAGCACAACCTCCCAAGGCCCAGACCTGTAAAACGATGTGCACTTCACCCCCGCACCGACCTGAAGTGAACAAAACATCCACCCCGCAACTCGAAAACCCGCCCACTTAGTACCAAGTAAACGACCGCTCGACTTACCCCTTTGAATCAGGTCGATGATGGTACCCGCGGTGACCGGTGCGGTGAAACCGTCGAGGACCATGGTCAGCCGGACCTTGTCGTAAAGAACTCCCCCAACGTCGAACTTCTCTCCCTTCGGCTTCTCCATGACGAACTCCACCTTGTTTCGTGCCGTCGCAAATTTTGGGTGTGTCACGAAAGCAAGCGCAAAATCAGGTAGAGCTAGCTCTCCAGTGCATCGGTCAAAGCGGGGGTGTTGGGTGAAAGCACTCACAAGTACAATTTAGTCGGGGGGGGGTGGGGTGGGGGTGGGGGGACCATAGTGCGGTCGTGTGCCAGCCTGGAGCCTAACTCGCCATACTGCTTGGCCGACACAAATCACAATCAAGCGGGTGATACATGACGTAAGACTGCAATCATGAAAGTAAGACTGCTATAGTAGTGGTTGAAGGAGCAGTGGCGGAGGCGACTCATCCACATTCATGCATTCCCTGGCTGAGATCAAACACCCGTATGTCGATTGCTGTCTTCTACCAGAACGCTACTCTCCTCTCTTGCAACCGAGGTTGAAACGTTGACGGCAAAGCCCTGAAGCTTCCGCCCTCCTGAAAGCTACCCCACGTTCCACGGTGGACCCTTATCTCTCCACGATCCAAATCCGTGCCCAGTCACACGATGAAACCCATAAACAATTAACTGCCATATTCCGGCTTCTTCGCCTTTCCTATTCCCACCCACACGCGAGCCGTTCCATATCCTCCCCCAACCCCTGCAAACCGCCTATTTGGTACGTACGCTTCATCATTTTGCTCACCGACGCCCTCCCCAGCAAGCGGGGCAACGAGTCGAAGTCACTCGGGATGTTAGCCTCGAGCTTCTTGGTGTAGTCCGGGGGGACCATCATGGCCTCCAGGTTGCCCACGTTGCTGACGATGGCTGCGTGGACCGGGTACGCCTGGGATTCGCTCGCACGATGAGACAAAGGCAAAGATGTCTTTGTGCACTTTTACGATGGGGAAAACCTTGTCGTCTGCCCCGCGTCTAGTTTGGGGTTGCGGGGATCCAAAGATGAAAATACTCCAAACCCTTTGTAGAAACTTCGGAGCTAGTGATACGTACTGTAACAGCCGCCCTAACGCTGTCGAGGACAATACATGGTTATTTTGAACGAACGGCATCAACTTCGGAATCGGTGCAGACCGAACAAAAATAACGCAAGGGGGGTGCGGGTGTAATGCGATATTTTTGCCTTGCGGGAGTTGATATGTGAAGGATCCAATCGGCTTTGACCGCGAATTGACCATCGGGAAACGCAAGATCCCGACAGCGGGCATGAGCACATCACGAGAAACCGCCCACATGTACGCCGTTAACTCAACTCGCAGAAAATAGAGATCCAACACGATTTGTTTACACACGTCGTGGTCTTCTTTAATACATTTGCTGTGTATACCGAGGGCACAAGAAGAACAGCTCAACCAGCTGCAACAACAGCGGCGGCGACGAAGAGGATAATGGAAACAGGCCTACCTCGTCTAGCTTAGCCTTCTCCAACACCACCCCAGCTCCATCGTCCTGGACGATTCTCTGAAGAGCGCCTGGGACGGAGCGACAGCAACAAAAACACGGGAGTCGCAGAAACCATGAGCAGCAACGGGGGACGGCATCACAAGCAGCACCGGCAGACCAAAGCAAAAGCGCAGCAATAATGACGATGGTTATCAGCGGCAGCACCAGTATTTACCAGCAGCAGTACCAGCAGGACCAGCAGTGCCAGCAACAACAAGAACGGTGGAAGGAGAAGTGGCAACGGAGCAGCACGTGAACAGTATCAGAACGCGCATCGTCGTCAAGGACGAGGACAAGACGCAGGCCATTCATCCCTCCCTCCCTCCCTCCCTCCCTCCCTCCCTCCCTCCCAGGCAACGTGACTGACCCGTCTTGGAACCGTTCCTAAAACAGTTAAACGAAAGTTAGGAAGAATAATCTTAGAAAGTGGTTCTCACCAAGACCCATGTCGATGTCCGCCATGAGCTTGGTTGCCCCCGCCTCATTGCTCGAGCCCACCGCTTTGAGGATCGCCGCTTTGTTGCCCGACATAGCAGACCTAGACAGAGCAACGCCGTTCGCAGCACCGAAATACTGAGCTACTACGGCGGAGAATTGTGACCTTGTCAGGCACGCGCGCGAGCGTGTGTGTGTGGTTTGTCTCGTCTATGTGTGAAGGCAGAAACTAAACCGGGGGCATTTGGAGGCACAACTTGCGCAGAAGCACAAAGTTCAAGCTTGTGAAGAGGCAGCATGGCAACAGTGCAGACGCCGGAGGTCGACGGCGAAAAGCGACAGGTGCACACGCGACAACGGCAGCGCAGGTCCTACAAAGCCAGTTGACTTCTCAGCCCCGAACATGTCAAATCATCAACGCTTCGTGCATGGCAGGTTTCCGGCAGGGGAATAAAGCTACGCATGGCTGCAAGAACGCCTTTTGATTGGAACAACAGCAGCGCAAGCTCCCCCTCTCCCATTTCTGTGCGTTTCGAATGGCATTAGCCAACCATCCAACTTGCTTCCAGCAAGGTGCAGGCAATGTACGTGCGGTTAAGCGCATGGGGGGGCGCTTGGGTTCATCAACTACCGACCGGGGCTCACTTCGCCTTTCTGCAGTTCGAAACGGCGCGTGACCAGTTCTTCTGGAAGAGATCCAGCTTAGCCGCCTCCACCGCCTCCTGCAGCTGCCGAGCCTGTTGTCGCCGTAAACCAAGTTTCGGGGCAAGGTCACAACGCGCAATGAAACTTGTAGGGGCAACAAGGTCCCCACTTACAACGATGGCGGTCCCCCCAAAAGACCGCGGCAATATCCGCGACGTGACGGATCAAAATCCGCCGGGTACTCCCCATGAAGGACCAACTTGGACACTTAACAAAGAACAAAAACCACGGTACCCACCCCGTCGCGAGGGTAAACAACCAGCACGCGGATCGATTTTGGAGTTGGCACTCAAACGGAGCAAAGCTAGCAAGCGGACCGATCGATAGGAGCTGTGCAAGCTAGCTAGAGGGCTGGGGGGTTCCGTAAAATCGTGCCGCGAACGCCTCAACAATCCGCGGCCGCCTGGACGGGTCGGAGACACACTCACCGCGGTGTAGCAAAAAGCGACAACCACGCGGCAAATGCGACAGCAGAAGGTCAACAAAAAAAGTCCTCAACAGCCCTGCGAGAGAGACCTCGGGCACACCATTCCTTCCAATTGGCCACCACGAGATACCCACACACAGCGCACGACCGCTCCCTTCAAAAGCAAAAGGCTTTTCCTCTTTCTCGGGTCTACTGCTGTACTAGTATGTGGTTTCGGTTGCGTGGCGTAGCGCCAGGACAGCCAAGCGTCGGACAAGAGCAGGACCAAACTGCAGTGCTGGTAGACCCTACTCTCGGTCCTCACCGGCTTGCAGTCTATCGGGAGGCCCCACTGAAGCAACGAGATCGGATCCTTGTTGACTCGAGACCCCTACGCGTGTCGCCGGACCAGTCCGTTCGTGGCGGCACCAGAGGATGCGAACATTTCGCAACGACCATCGCATCAGAAACAACAGCATTGGTGTGGTGGGGGCGTCGGAGAAAGGCCAGAGGGCATTCCCACGCCCGCACATTTGTTCCTGTCAAAATGGGGCTTGTCGCTCACGCTGGTACGTACGAGCCGAGGACGTTCGCCTTTCGACACAGCAACGGGATTGTTTGGTACGGAAGATGCAGCAGGGAGGCCAGCGGGGTGACATAGCTCGAGAGGTACCCACTGCCACAGGGAAATGTTGATATCAACTTGTGAGTGAGCGACGTTGCAAGCCGAGCTGCAATATCCCTATTCTACGTTCACGACGGACAGACAGGTGTAGCACATACTAGTTTCACAAAACAGCTCCGAGATTCTTTAGTTTAAGCAAACATAAAGCAGCAGAGCGCGGACGGTACCTAGCATTTGCCTCGTGCTGGAACGACGGCGGTATGTGCTACGCTGGTGAAAGCTGCGCTCGTTGCCGGCAAAAGGTAATGCCGATGTCACCCATGCAGCGGCGGAGATCCACACGGAAAAGCGATCCACACAGGGAAGAAGCTGTTGTAGCAGCAAACCGAACCGACACCTCACCAGGCAAAAAACAGTTTGCTGTACCGCCATGCTAACTAAGCAAAGGCCATCCGGAGACGCGTTTACCGCTACTCTTGTATTCTCTTACCGATGCCGTGGAGCTGACTTGGAGCTTGTTGGCAGCGTTCGCTGACTCGAAGTTGGCCGCGGCCGTCACCCCGGCGAGAAGCGTGGCGATCGTCTGCTTCCCGAAGTCCCCTGTTTCAATACGAGACCAACGAAAATTATAGTGCAACCATCTTGTCGTTCGAGCAACGGGGCCATATCGTTGTCACGCGACGCTCGAGCGTTCTCAGAAGGCGGAGAGGCTACCACAATGGAGCGGTAAACACGCAACGGCTCTGATAGGTACTGCTGTACACAAGAATTCCGGTTTTTCTACACGCATAACATATGTGGGTCACAAAAAAGATTCGACTCGTGTGTCATAGACTATTTACCTTGCTGCTCAAGTTCCTGGCTTGTCCACGTGTCATGTGTGTGCGTCCCTCAACCTAGCTGGTGGAACCTACTTCCCTAGCATCAAGGGCACAACATACGTGCTACACGCATGCCTATCTGCTTCTTCTACATATACGCCTACCTGCTATGCACAACACTTGTTATCGGTCGCTCGGTGGGTGCGGTCCCCAGGATATACAACCCCGGTTGCGCTGCTAGCCCAACAGCTGGCACAACAGCAGTGCTAATGATCGAGAAGGCCGGATCTGAGGCCATGCCGTCAAGAAAATCCACTACGATACCATGTGTGTTGGAAGGTAGAGGGAGGCATCCTCCCTGCTCGGGGAGCAATACAGCCGGTGTTGGAGTGAATGCTCAATTGTTGAGGCCTTAGACTAAATAGACTTTACCGGACTGCTGGATGCATATGTCGCTTTTTCCGAGCTTGCACCTGGACTCAACAATGAGGCGCAAAAGCAACAACAGCAACCCCGGCAATCAATACTACGGCAGCGCGTCTTCGTGGTCTGGTATTAACAGCGTGTGGTGAGGTACATAGTGCATAGAGCCGGTTCGCGCTCTCGTCACCGGACAAAAGAGGATTGACAAACTGCTTCTGACTCAAAACATGTGTCACATGTCCCCCTTTCGCACATCAACAGCACATGCGCTCCAAATACAAACGCGAGAGGACCATTTCATACAGCACCAACACTCTCGGCAGACGCCAGCGAAGCCTCCAACGATCAGATCCTTGCCTCGGGTGGTGCCCCCGTCGGCGCCCATGGACAGGGAGCTGCTGCTGCTGCTGCTGCCCGGGGCTCGGCTGTTGGACTTCGACGCGCCGAACACCGAAGCTGACGGCACTACGAACGCATCGGAGACGCCCGCAATCAGAGTGATAACCGCCACCAGTGCAACGCACGCCGTCGACTTGCACGGCGACATGCTTCTAAAGAGAGTCAGGAGAACGAACGAGCCTGCTGTAAAACCCGAGAGCTGAAGAGCTGCTGCTACTACATACAAGCCCGGCCGAGCTTCCCGACGGCAACTGACCTTAGGGGCTACGCAGATGTACAACCTCCCCCCAAGCACCGTGGGACGTACGTAAAGAATCTGGGACAGACGCAATTCGCTGACACCTCCATCACCGCACAACTCTCTCTCTCTCTCTCTCTCCCTCAACCTATTGCCTCTCACCTTCCCTCCGACATCTACCATGGCGAACCCTGTTGTGTTCTTCGACATCACCATCGGCGGGCAGGCCGCAGGACGCATCGAGATGACGGTAAGTGGGGCAGAGAGAAGCTTCGCCCTCTTGTACAGGGGGGCGGAAAAAGCGGAGCGAACACATGCCCAGGATGGATCTTGTGCCGCCCGGTGTTGAGGTTTCTCGAGAAAGTCTCTCCTCCGAGACGAATGGCCAGAGCAATTGGCAAAACGAGGGTGGGGAGTAATCCGGCACCGGCAGGCCGTCGCAAGAAGCGATTCATCGCTTGTGTTGCGCGGTGTTGGCCCCTTCACAGGGCTAGTGGATCGACCATATTTGTCTACCAACCAGCGGCCAACTGCCGGGCGGGGCTCGTCGATGCCAGACATGCTAGGTTGTGCATGTGTGTCGCGATCCCACCTCACAATCCCGCGTCGACAGCATCCCCTCCTAGCCCCTACTTTGACCGGCGGTGCGTCCTGCATCATTAGCCGTGCGTGCATCACTCGGCTCCCCGGTGCAGATTGTTTTCCGCCATTGGCCCCATGGTTCGATCTTTCCCGCTCATTTTTGGCTTGGCACGCATGTTTTTTTTTTTTACGTGTACCACGTGGCTCTGAAATTGCACGACAACTGCCATTACTCGACGGGCAAAGTTCGATGTACGCTGGTTGTTCCTTCGAGCACGGACGGATTTCGAGCTGTGTCCTCACGGACATGATACACCTCCCCATTATTTACCTTCTCTTGTTGCGGGGTCTCTCTATTATTTACCTTCGTAAATTGAGTTGTTTGCCTCATGTTGAACTTGTCGCAACGATGTTTTGGCACCGTTGGATACTCTCCGCAGCTGTCGGATATCAAAGTACCCGTCATGGACTGTAATCGTTGGCTGAGATTTGTTGAGGGGTGTCATCTTTGCGTGCCTTGGGAACTCCCCGTTCGTCTCGACCACCCGTAGCATCTGCCTCCCCCCCCCACATGCAGCAAGGCGGGCATCCTCTTATTCCTACTCTAGTTGTCGAAGTTATTCAACTTCATGCGAGCATGCCTGTCTTGTGGATGTACGTGACATGTCTCGTTTTCGTTCGAAAACGAAAGGTTCACCCCTGTGGTGTCGCCGAAGGTATCGCATGTTCGACGGCTTCGTTTTTTTATCCATCACGAAGGCTCTGCGCAAGAACTGTTGTCGAGAGAAGCGCGTAAACTCGGCGTGCGAATTCCAAGCGCATCCTAACCACTGGAGTAGTGTAACGCGGAAAGGCTCTCCAACCCCTCTACTGTTGTACCTCCGCCCAGTCTGCTGGAAACTGAAGGTCTACCGGAGAGGTTCAAGGAGAAGATGTCTGTTGCTTTTGCCGAGAGAGAAGGACAGAATCTAACTAAAGGAACCAAAGATGAGGAAGGTCTAGATGTGTACGGAATTTTACCTACATGGACCAATGGATGCAGCGACAAAGCTGAAAGTCAAATTTCAAACTCAAGACCGGGGACATTCGACTTCCGAGGACATGGACGAAGATTGAGGAAGATAGATAGGCTTGGAAGATTAAGTTCAACATGTCAATGCGGGTCCGAGAGCATAGGCCGGGTAATGTAGTTGCGAAATGCCCGTTGTATGCATACGAAAGGAGCGTGAAGTGTACATGACTGAGCTGGTAAAAGCAGATACAGGGAGATGTTTAAGGCATGGGATAGCCAGCAGAAGACGGTAGCTGGACTGGGGCATGGGGAGTGGGTTGAAAAGGCGTGAAATGACATCGATAAGTTGAGCTACAGTAGGGAAAATATTATTGAGCCACCTTTGGCAAAGTAGGAAGGGACGATTGGCCTCGTCCCTGTGGCAAAAAATTCTCCGTCCTGTCGAGGACGCGTTGTCAATGGTCTGACCGCTAAGGCATTCTACAACAAACATAAAAGAGTATTGTAACCCCCCTTGGGGTGCGAGATTCATATGGAGAGTTGAACGGGATGAGGTGGCCTAGCTCTAGTGCACAGCGCACAGCGTCTTAAAACAGGATGCAATGATAACCTATACGGGTCGAGTTGACGGAATGTTTTCTCCACTTGAACATCCAGCTCTCCATCCGCAGCATGACCATAGACCGCCGTTTACGCGTAAACGGGTTTCATCGTTTATAGTGTCAATTTTCTTTCACGGTTTCACATAGCTCAACCCAAACGCACACCCCTTGGTTTGATTGTTTGCCACAAAGGCCGATAACCAGCCCCACAAAGACATGCCATGACCTTCACGAACTCCCTCCGCTTTTGCTTGGTGCTCGATTAGTCCTTAGGCTGAATAACACCTTGTTGCTGTCGTCGTTGTCTTGACATAGAAAACTGTTTCGATCTCTCCACATCCAATGCCTCCTTGCGCCAGCGAACACATGACGCAGGCGATTCCCGTGGCCACGGGCTACCTTCCCCTATGAACTGTAAATTCAAATATAATAGACCGGGAAGGTCTGCCAGCCAATAGAAATCAACGACAGATATTTGTCCTTTTTTATAACCTTTTTCCGTGCCCTATGTTCGTTGCCGTGCAGCTCCGCGCGGACGTGGTGCCGCGAACGGCGGAGAACTTCCGATGCCTCTGCACCGGGGAGAAGGGCACCGGCAGGTCTGGGAAACCCCTGCACTTCAAGGGCTCCACCTTCCACCGCGTGATCAAAGACTTCATGTGCCAGGGCGGCGACTTCACCCGCGGAAACGGAACCGGTAAGTGTGGGAAACGGAATCTGCAAGTATAGGAAAAGGAAGTGGTTAGTGTAGGCCTTACGAAGAGGAAGCAAGAGTTGTTGACAAGGGCTGCGGTTTGATTTCGAACAAAGGGGACGACGAGAGAAGGGTGAAAACACCGCTAGTATGCGACAGGGAAACGGAACACACAGCTAGTACCAGCCCTGTACAGGTATAAGCTTGCACACTTTCGCTCGTACATCGAATACAGTGGACGATGGACGGTCTCCGGTGCACACAGCCGCCGTTTTGGGGGTAACAGTTTGCATTTGCCGAAGGCGACAGGAACCATTTCCAACAACAAATGGAGTGGGCACAACCACTTTCAAGGAGTCCGGATAGATCACCACAAATGACAGTCGTACAGCAGTACCACCCGTGCGTGTCCCACCCGCCCGCGACACCACTCGATTGCTAGTACCATCGTGCTAATTTGTGAGACTCGTTTGTTTTTTCCGCTTTTCCTACAACGAACACGCCAATCAACACAGGCGGCGAGTCTATCTACGGCGAGAAGTTCGCTGACGAGAACTTCCAGCTCAAGCACACCGAGCCTGGCGTGCTCTCGATGGTGCGTTGCTGCGGGTGCCGTGTGAAAAGCCCTCGTGGGTGTAGGTGGTGCTTTTTCATGTTCGACGTGGGTTGATTTCCGTTTGACGTCGTACGAAGCTACGTTTGGTTTGGCATCTTCCAGGTTTCGTTTCGGAACATTAGCATGTTCACGTTCCCTGTGCCGTCTGCGAAAAAGTGGTTCCCATGCCTCACCCTTTCCCGCTGTTCCTCGTCTTGTTTGGCTTGCAACCCGTCACCTCTCGTGTTCCCCCTCAGCATCATGTGCACCAAACATCAATGCCTTCCTTTTTGGTGTGCAACGTCACGCACCCTGTCCTTTTTCGTGCGCAACTTGATTCAGCCGACCTTTGGTGCCCCCCCCTGAAATGCATGAGAGCCTTGTTCCCGACAAGCTATTCTAGGTGAATAGGTCTTGCTGGCCTCTCCGCATATGTCCAACTCTCTTCGTATGTGCCTTGTGCGTCGTCGTCATCCCCCCCCCCCCTTTTGCCGTGATACTGTACCCTCTGTGGGACCCCTGGCAGGCAAACGCCGGAGCCAACACGAACGGCTCCCAGTTCTTCCTGTGCACCGTGGTGACCTCCTGGTTGGACGGCAAGCACGTGGTCTTTGGAAAGGTAACCCTGCAGCAGTAGCCACGAAGGTCTAGGCGAGAAACTCCTTTCCGTGGTATGAGTTGATTGCAGAATGTTCGCAGAGGTCACTCAATTGTCGGGACGTGGCTGAATGTGGAGAGCCTGTAGTGTGATTTGAGGCGATCCATCGTTGCCCCACTATAGCCACACGCGTGGCGGTGTCGGCGACAATGGGAAAGCTTGGTGTTTGTTCCCGACCTTCGCGCGTGTCGCCACCCCGCCCCCGGGTGGCTCGTGAACACTTTTGATGCACGCGGGGCCCCTCCTCTTGTTCGGTAGACGTGTATCCACGTCTCCTCGCTACCAAAATATAGGAAACGACCTATCGACGTCCTCTCCTGCCAATGGCCTCTCCCGGAGCGAGTAGCTCTGTCCCATATAGAATCGTGCGTCCATATGGTGGAGGCCGGTTTTTTATTTCGAATAAAGCCAGACACGCAACTTCGGTCACATTTGTGATTCATTGCGTCGATCGTCGTCGTTTGGCAGGTGACCAAGGGCATGGATGTGGTGAAGGCGGTCGAGGCCGTGGGCTCTTCCAGCGGGAAGACCAGCTCTCCTGTCGTGATCGCCGACTGCGGCCAGATCTCCTAGGTTAGGTTGACCGCTCCTAACCTACCTGGTGTAAAGGTCTAGGCCCTCGGCAGGACGAAAGAATGAACAACAGCAACCGGCGGCAGGACAAACGCAGTGACAAGTAGCAGTAGTTCTGCGTTTTGTCCTCGTCTCTTCGGTTCTTTCTGTTGTCCAATCCCGGCATCTGTCGCTGTCATTCATGTGAAGTGTACAAGTGGTGAGGGTAGGGATGTGCGCACGAAAGGCCTGTAGCCTACGGTACGTGGCGTTTCCTCCTTGTTCGCTTTTCTCCGGCAAGGAAGAATCTTTGGCGAAATGCAGCCGACCAAGTTTCGAGAGCCATGCTTTTTTCTGGAACAGATTTCAAGAGGTGGTCTTGCTTCGGAAAAGCGGGGGGGACGTCGTTTCGCTGCAGGGCGTCGTGGGTAAAAGGTACATGCGCAGTCGATCAACGACTCCTGTAAGTGAAATTTTATTCGGGCGGGTTCGAAGGGTACAGGTGGTGGCATGAGAGAGAGAAAGAGGTAAATACGCGGAACATAGTTATTTAGCCACGGGTGGGGTGGGAGTGCAAGCTTGTCGGAATTAGGGGGCAACTTGTGGAGGATAATACTAGAAGCGAGGTATGGGGCAAAAACCGCGTCCGCAAACTTGCGATTTCTCTCTGGGACTTGCCGGTGTAGACTGCTCTCTCGCTCGCGGTGCCTGTTGTGGTCGTGTACGCTACGTACAACCTCGGGAGTATTTTCAGGAACGGAGGTTTTGGGCTGCAAGTATCCCCTCTGTAAACGAGGGGCGGGAAATCACACCGCCGCTGTGCCCGGAACGGGGGGGGCGGTACCAAGAAATCACGTCAGCGTTGTTGCTTTGGAATCCTTGCCCCGGTTTTGGGTTTTACCCAAAATTGCTCGCTATTTGGTGCAGGAACACGCGGAGATGTTGAATGACCCCTTGTAGATGGGATTTCGTTGGTGTTTAACAAGGCTTTGGTTGTGTCGTCGGGCACTCTCCCCGTACGAATGCACGGAGGAACGAAATGGTAAACCGATTTCTGGAGTCTGGAGAATAGAATGCAACTTGAGGTGGTCATGAGGACCACACAACGTTGAGCGGAACAACACCACGGACAACCCTGACACGCGAAACTGAATTGTTGGTCGAAGTTGATCGCTCCGATGAGGTGAAGTGGGTAGGCGCACTTTTGGCGTCGACGTCTCGAAAGACCGCCCTGGAAGGGACACACTCGATAGGTGCGACCTGAGTCCCCTTGCCCGCGAGGAAGTTGGAATCAGTTTCTACTTGTACGAACGGCGCGCGGCGGAACAAAATTAATGGATCATTCTATTAACGTCACCGGTGGCGTTATTTCTTATATACGTCACCGCCCGTATCTCAGCCCACAGAGCTTCAATTGGCACAAAATGAATTGCGTTGTGTAGCTATGACCCACAGCAATCATTCAAGTCAACTTGAAGCAGAATCCACTCGGTAGTTGGAGAGGCATGCTCGAAAAAGGGGTCTCAGCGGCATTCAACGGTGGGCACCAACCACATATTCCACCGTATGCACCGACCCCTTTTTCGAGCTTGCCTCTCCAACTACCGAGTGGATTCTGCTTCAAGTTGGCTTGTATGATTGCTGTGGGTCATCGCTAGTCTACACAACGCAATCCATTTTGTGCCAATTGAAGCTCTGTGGGCTGAGATACGGGCGGTGACGTATAAAGAAATAACGCCACCGGTGATGTTAATAGAATTACCCGGAAAGGTGTTTGGATGGTTGTCCTCCAACAGCTGCCACCAGTTGAGTGTCATGCCACTTCCTGCCTCGCCTCAGCTTGTCTACAATGGATGTACTACAACACATGGTGGTCATACTTCACACAACAGCAGTCTGAAGAGAACCCCAACGTCGCGCCATCATTTGGCAATGGGACCGCGCAGACACAGCAGTAAACAAGAGCCAAGCTGTTGCACTGGAACAAAACATGGACGACGTGAGACAGCACTTCGGCGGATACGCACATGTTCGAACTCGATCCTTACAGAGTTAGGGAGAGTTTACAAAGTTGCTACAGCAGTAGACTGCTTGTAAAGTATGTACTAGGAGTATTTATGAACTGCTTATGCTTGACTTTTTCCTTTTTTTTTTTCGCATGTGTAGACTAGTCTAGCCGTTACAAAATTAACAGAGTTCTAGTTCGACGAAGAAGCCGCTGTTCCTCCGCGTCTCTTTCGCTCCGCATCCATCGAAAGCAAAGAGCAAAGTGAGCACACAGCCAACCGTTGCCGTGGGTACGAACGAGGGTGGGTTTTTATCGCCAGCATGGTTCAACCAGCAGCGAGGACGGCTGCAGCAGTCGTCGCCGCGCTTGTCGGCTTGCGGGCAAGCACGGTGGCATCCCAGCCGTGCTCGCCGAACCTTTGCAGCGGGCATGGTTCATGTGAGTCCTCGAAAGACGGCTCCACCTCCGCACGACAGTGCAGCTGCAACACAGGGTGGACGGGGGCGGACTGCAGCCTCATGCTATGCCCGCTTGGCCCGGCCTGGTCTGACAAAGCGAAGGGGACGGACGATGCCCACGCTCCGGCGGAGTGCTCGAACAGGGGGTACTGCGACCGCTTGGAGGGCGTTTGCATGTGCGACACCGGCTTTGAAGGGCAAGCTTGCGGGCGGAGAACGTGCCCCAAGAACTGCATGAACCACGGGCGCTGCCAAAGCATGGCGTACTTCGCTTCCGTGCAGGACCCTGGGGAAGGAACGGTGTACGCGTACGACGGAGACGTTTGGGACGCGGATATGATGTACGGGTGCAACTGCGACGCTGGGTACTCGGGCCCGATGTGCAGCCTTCGCAGCTGTGCCTTAGGGGATGATCCACTGACAGGGACAGATGAGGCGAGAGTCGAAGTTGTTACTTCATGTTTTTCGTCTTGTGTTTGCATCCTGTAGTCTACTGCCAGTCAGTGTAATTCATCTCGAAGCGAGGGATATGTTCGGAAGTCCAGGAGTCCCGAAAACTGTGTCCTATGTTGTAGATGCACCAAACACGCCACATTAATTTTCGTCAGCCCGCAGTCGGCGCTGCTTTCGCCCAGACTAAGCATCTTGCAACCTTAAAGCGGACCACTTCAAAAGCAGCACTACACGACTGAGTAGAAGCCTGCTGCTGTCTGCCGTCCTTTCGATTGACCCTCCGCAATTCTGTCCCCCTGTTCTGAAATCGAAAGGACCCCGACGGCGAGCAATACAACGAGCAGCAAGAACTCACTTGCGCGGCGACGGGGGGTTCTTTCACTCTGACCTTTCGCGGCTTTACCACGGCGGCCATTACGTATTCGGCCTCCTCCGAGGACGTCGTCGATGCCCTGCAGGACCTCCCCAGCCTCTACGGCTCCTACGACACCGCCGTCAGTGTCCAGTTCTCGTCGTCGGACACACAGGCATGTATGAAAAGTCAAAGGAGGGCAACATGCACGCTCACCGAACCTGCTCTTGTTTTGGAATGCCCAGTGCGATCTCAAAGTGGCTACTGTAGCTCTCCACCACTCTGAGTCGATGTTCCGGAAGGGTGAACGGGTGAAGACAAACGGCTTGACTCCATAGTAGACAACGCGCACCTCAGATATTGACAACGGGAGGGCATCGATCGTCCTCTCCCCGCGAAGAGTGTTGAAAAATAGATATCACTAGCCTAGTGTACGGTTCTGCATCAAATCGAATTCTTAGAATGTCGAAAACGTACCAGTAGGCAAAGGTTTTCCGTGTATACCTGGTACTCCGTATTCCCTTGACTCCGCTGCGATCGAACCACCTCCTGCGTCAAACTCCGCACAGGCGTGCACTTCCGCCGGGCACTCGTGGACCATCGAGTTCCTCCAGGACTTCGGGGACCTGCCACTCCTGGTTGCCGGTGTGTCGAAGCTGACCCACTCCACGTCGGGGATAGCGGCGAGCGTTACAGTGGAGGAAGCCATCACCGGTACCAAGGAGTCTCTGGATTGCTCCGGGCGGGGCTTGTGCGACACCGACGACCGGGTGTGCACTTGCGAGCCGGAGTACGACACCAGCAACGGCTACAACGAAGAGGTACAACGCTGTAGCACGGTCGTCGCTCCGATGAACGCGGGTACCATATAAGAGGGGGTCGAGATCGGCTGTCAAGGACTCGAACCGCTATAGCAGGGTCGGTTACCCTCTCATTCTTCCGGTATAAGACGGGGCTCCGAGGGTCAAAGGCGTTTGCCATACGTCCCTCGCATATCGGAGCCACCACTGTACTGCATGCGGCGATGCATGTGGAGACCATGTACGTGTGGCGGTGCGCATCCCTCGACGGTAGGCTGGTGCCGCAGGCGGTTGTCATGTAGACGTATATATCGCCTCTCATGCTCCCTCGTTGGATCGAACGGTGACGTCCAAGAGGTAAATTGAGTGTGTGGTCGATATCTGGACTTCCCTTTGCGTGGAGGGGCCTTTCGTTTTTTCCCGGCCTAAGAAAGCAAGAAATAGGTTTTCGTGATTTCTGCGGGAGGAATCAACAATAAGGGGTGGGTCCGCGATCGTTTGATATCTTGCCACCTGTCATGTGTTCTTCATAACACCGCAATCGGGTAGTATATCTTTGGTGTTGGTAAATATATAATGGGCAGCGGGTGAGCTCTCACCGCTGAGCAGGCCACCCATGAGTCCAGACGGGAATAATAGAGCCGCACGGCCGGTTGTCCACTGGATGTAGATAGTTAATGTGGTAGTGTGGAGGACTACACCATGATAGCAACGACAACACGCCGGAGAAAACTGCAGCCCTCCTCCTTACATGCACCACCCACCAGGGTCGCCGCGGGGACTGCGGCTACGTCATCACGGCCGTGACCCACTGCCCGGGAGAGATCTCCTGCTCGGGCCACGGCGTGTGCTCGGGCTCGCCGACCTACGCGTGCGACTGCAGCGATGGGTGGGAGGGCGCCGACTGCTCCCTCAAGACGTGCCCCTTCGGCAAGTCTTGGTTCATGCGACCGACGGCCGACAACGTGGCCCACCTCACACGCACGGAGTGCTCCGACATGGGGACCTGCGACCGAGTCTCCGGGGAGTGCGCCTGCGTCGATGGGTTCGAGGGATCCGCGTGCGACCGGATGTCCTGCCCGGGGGCGGCGGCGGCGTCTTCGGGGGAGGGAGAAGCCGGCGGCGGGACTTTCGACGATTCGGAGACGGCGTGTAACGGCCACGGACAGTGCGTGACGATGGCCATGCTCGCCGAGGCCACCGACGAGAACGGCGTCGCGACGGACTACACCTACGGGGGCGCGCCCAACGACCCCTTGACGTGGGATCACGACATGGTGCAGGTAGGGCCGAATAGCACGTAGGTCTGTACGCGCTTCTGCCGGGTGTACAGAGATGGTCGTTGCTGACTGCAACCGTGGGATGTTTCCTCCGGAACGATTGGTTGAAGTGGGATCACGGTATGAGTACGAAAAAGTAGCTGACCATTTCCTTTTGGTGATTGCCGAGCCTGGGCAAAAGGCTATGTCCTCCCACTCTCGGACCCCTCAATTTTTGTTGGGGTCGCCGCGGGGCGGGAGGGGGGTGTAGGGAAGCGGCGCAAGAACACCTCAATGCCTCCGAGTGCTCCTGTCAGTTGGTCGGAATCTCCACACTTGATATGGTTGTGGGGCGAGAACAGACGTACCGCGTCGTCAGTTACTCCTCTAGCACGTGGTGTGAAAAGGAAATATAAATGTGTCGTCAAAAAAACGCCATTGCCTCAGAGACCGACAATCGGCAGTTTGAACACGATGGCAAGGAAGACGACCGGGAGGGGCGGCAAGAAGAGAGACATGGTCTTTGGTCCTCCACCCAAGCCCTAACCTGCAGCCTTCTCGCCCCTATGCCCATCATGTATGCGTGCAACTGCGCAGGGCTGCCTCTGCGACGATGGTTACGAGGGGCACGACTGCTCGTTGAGGGCCTGCCCGTACGGAGATGACCCTGACACCCACTCACAGGTGAGGCAGTACTTCAGCTATGGAGCGGCGGCGAATTTCGTATCCGATTTCTGCACCGTGACATTTGGAATTTCGTACGGAATCGAATGAAATAATTAGTATCATACATTTCGTCTCCAATGTACGATTTTGCCGATAGCGTAAGTGCATAGCAACAGGCAGGATATGGAAATAGCGACTACCGTGCCGAACACGACACGACCTTAAACACGCAACACATATTCCGAATACTCGCACCCGCTGTCGCAGGACAACGAAATCCAGGTAGTGGAGTGCTTAGACGCGGACGACGACGGGCAGGTGGTGTTCATGTTCCGGCAGGCGGAAACTTCGGCACTAGAGGTGTCTGCTACAGAGGTACGTAGGGTTTGAGACGGTCGGGTGAGAGGTAACCGTTCCGTTCGTCGCCGTGAGGTTCTCGTTGCGGCGGATGGCCTGAATGATGCTACTACGACGCCCATCATGAAACCGTTGCTCTGGCGGGGGGGGGGCGGCCTTTCGTGTTGATCATCGTCATGATTGCTTCGATACAGTGTGCCAGAGTCGTGTCGTGAATTTTAGTCTGCCTGAACGGCTTGAGTTCTCACACCTCGTAAGCGTGTGCTGCTGCAGCGGCTGCTGCTATTTGTTGCACCTGCGGCTGGCTGTGGTTGTTGTTCGCGCTAGATGACAGAGTCTGCAAAGAGACGGGAAGGAAAACGCGGTGGCACTTTGTGGCTGCGCAGCGCGTGTCTTGGGAGGAGGTACACACGCAAGCACGCAACCGGGCCATGCGGTGCCGTCACACAGTTTTTCACTCGGCTCTGCAGCCAATAAGTGCGTGTCGCCTCTCCTGCATGACTAACCGGTTTGTTGAACTTTTGATGCGTTCTCCTAGGCGGAGGTAGAGGCAGCGTTCGAGGCCTTGTCCACCCTCACAGACGTCGCGGTCTCGTGCGATAACGGCGCCCTTTGCAACAGCACGGTCGCTTCCACGTGCACCATCGAATTCTTGACAGAGCTGGGCGATGTCCCTCTCGTCTCCGCTTCCGTCTCCAACATCGATTCCATCGCCGTTTCGGAGTTCCAAGTGAGCGAGAAGGCGATTGGTGGGGAGTGGGGGGTGAGACACAAAAAGGGTAGGGAGGGAGAGGAAAGTGAGAGTGAGTAACAGAGCGGACATCGGAGAGGCAGAGGAAGAATAGACATGTAGCGAGGGCCGGTGGGTGATTTCTCCTCAACACCCATCGGGACGGCAATACTGTTGTGCCCTATCATGCATCGTGAACGGGTGTGTTTCCATCTTTCGGACTCTTCCTTCCTGCCACGAGACCAAGCGCACACAGTTGCGCGATTCAGCACCCCGCCCCATTCCCGAACGATCCGACGCGGCTTGCTCGCCAGACGGGGACGAAAGAGTGGGCGGAGTGCAGCTTCAAGGGCCTGTGCGACTACAGCACGGGGACGTGCGAATGCTTCCCCGGGTACGGCAGTAGCGACGGGCAGAACAACAAGGGGTCGCTCGGCGACTGCGGGTGAGGAGGCTGTCTGTTCGTTTCCTTCGGGTTGGTGAGCTGGGTAAACAACTTCACGTGCTAGGATCTAGGTTGTCAGGAATTCTACATGTAGACTATGTGTGTTGCGTGTACAATGGTGGCAGCTTTTTTGGGACAAGGTTAGATAGGTTTGCCACTATTGCACACTTGGAGAGCACTTCCCCCATACTTTCATTGGGCACAAGTGCTTGTAATGGACACAAAGAAAGGACCTTGCTCTTCAGGAGGGCGCATACCAATACCTCCTGCGTGGTGGTCGGTCCTATCCTCTGATTATTCCCCGTCCGCCCTAGGTCAATGTTGCCAAGAACTGGGGACACTGGGGTGCATGATATACCCCCCCGTCTCTTGCACATTCAAAACCTTCACACCGCCACCTCTTGCGTTCCGTCCCGTTCACAACAGATACGTGCTGCCGTTTAGTGGAGGTCTCTTCGAGACGGGGGTGTACGCTCCGGTTAGCCGGTACCCGACGACAACCAACTTGAGGAGCGGGAACACAGCGGGGACCTTCGACACGGCCGGTAGGACAACGGACGAGCTGGCAGCGCGCCTGGCGAAGCTCAAGAACATGCAGGAAGAAGACCCTTGGGTCGACTAAGTGCAACGCACTCTGTAGGAATATTCTGTAGGCGTAAAGTTTTGAACGATCATGACACCCCGGCGATGAACCACGAACACAGGAGCTATCGGGGGGGGGAGGCAAACGCACAAGGTTGAAATATTGCCTTGTTGTCTTGTTGAAATATTGTTTATACGTAGTGTTTTGTTGTGTTTCTTTCCTGTATTCCTCTCGTGGATGTTGTGAACTGAAGCGAGTCATCTCGATGTTATCGTCGTCGTCGTTGTCGTACGAATGTACACTCAAACGAGATTTCTTGACGCCGTGATTTTGTTGTGGCCTCCGCCGCACGCAGCTGGACAAAGCATTGCGGCTCACTGAACGCGTTGATCTAGAAAACACCATCAGCCGGACGATGATGGTCACGTTCTCTCCACAAGAAAACTGCTCATATCGTGAAAAGCGGGAATTATCCTCAACAAACGATGGAGAGATTGAACGCTTTTCGGACGGCATCTCCATTCCGCCCCCCCCACACACACCCTCCAGGTGTTTGCCATCGGGGTTGGGTTTTCGTCGCTTGGCAACGACGTTGTAAAACAAGCCTATTCACTTCGTGAACTCGGCAACCAGGTTACCGTTGTCCTTTTTTTTACATCCGTTTTTTTTCGGCGGTAACCATAATGGTGGCCGAGTAGATCATGTTGTGCGGGGTG